TTTTGCAGTTGAAATGTCTTACAAGGGATGTTTTACTTGCTTTATAAAATGCGAATATGTCATAACAGTTGTTTTTTCATGATCAAAGCTAAAGTGTGTTGGTTTTAGCTTGGAGACAAGTGAATTTTAATCTTGGGCAGCTTCTCATGTTTGTTTTGTTGAAATACTTTGTTAGAAAAGTGTCCAACGAACGTTAGGTAGAATCCATGTTTATTAATACTAAATACCTATGATAATATTTTTTGTCCTTATAAAATAAACTAACTAGAAAAGATCTCAATGATGTATTTGATATTTTTTGCAGTAAAATTTAATGTTTACTGATATTTTGTAGTTTTTTGAAAATTCCATTGAAAACCATTTTTTTTAATTATCTTTAGTCTACAAAAAGTAATATTTAGTTTATCTCAAATATTGTTAAATAATTTATGGTTATGAAGCAACTTTGCAAATTGAATATTAATAATTTAACTTTGATTGTGTGTAAATGAAGTGAAAACTTAAAAGGAATAAAGTCCTACATTAATAAAACAATCCTAATTAAAGTTCCAATTTAAAAGTCCTCGTTAAATAAATAAAGTTCACACAAATTGTCTAATATCATCATAAGCTCTGGACTATATATGTTTTCCACTTACATTTTCTAAGCTAGATTAATCTTTGGAAATAATGCATGCACTTTTATCTTCACATTTTCTGATCTGCTAATCTACTTAAGTAGGACCTGTAGAATCATTTTTAGGACAAACATATGAAATCGCGTCGAATGGTTCTTAGCAAAATTATAAATGGTAGGCCTATGTCTGTTCCTTGTAATTGAGCTTATAATGAACGAGGCTATAAATATATAGGTTGTCCCACGAAGGGGTTTAAACGTTTGATTTTATATTACGCGCCCATCCATGCACCGAACTTTTTGAAACTTTACACACTTTACAAAGTAGGTTCTAAAAATATCCTGGAAAAATTTAAATTCCCTTACCTTAGTAGAAACGAAATGGCGGCATATTGAAAAACTATATTTTAAAAACATTAAAAAAGGTATTTTTGGTTTTTTTTTATATTTTTATTGTTACTTTCCAGGGCAATATGACTTTTAAATAAATAAAAACTAGAACATAGCCTGATGGAAAACTAAAAATAAATCAAATATCTAATAAATAATAATAATAAATAAATAACTAATAATAAATCATTAAAGTAGTTTTTATAGAAAGCACATTGTTAAATTTGTCAATATGCCACCATTTTGTTTCTACTAAGGTTAGGGAGTTGAAATTTTTCCAGAATATTTTTAGAACCTTCTTTGTAAACTGTGTAAAGTTTAAAAAAGTTCGGTGCATGAATGGGCACGTAATATAAAATCAAACGTTTAAACCCCTTCGTGGGACACCCCGTATTACTTAACTAAAAAAAAAAAAAAAATAGTTGCTTAGTATTGTAGCAATATATTTTTGTGCAAACTCATAATACATTCGAAAATCCGTAATTAGAAGGTAATGGTAGCTGATTACTGAATTTGCATGTTGGAAACGCAATTTATAGTCATTTAATAAGGTCAAAAGGTCGAAGTAGTAAAGAGTGGCCATTCTCCACCAACTTCCAACAAATGGATTCTTTTCTGTTTTTCTTATACAAAATTCAATGCGATTGTGTAACAAATTAAATTAAATTTAAATTGACCAAATAAATTTAAATACATTTTTTTTTGTTTTGATGTTTGGCTCTGAAAGATTTCAAGTGCTTAAAACATTTTTATTTCAAAACAACCTTTTAACCATCCACGCATACGGTATGCCATTAATATTGCATACGTCAAAACGAAGTCGCTAATTTCATGCCTTAATTTATGCATTTTCTTTTAATTACAAGGAAAAGATAAGCTCGATGTGTATTATTAATTATATTACCTAATACAACTTAACTTTCTGTGTCTGTTGATATTATTAGTTAGCGAAGAAAAGTTTTGAAGGCCTAGTTGTCTCCGTCGCTTTTTGCTCGGTAAACTTTCAAACGGTAAATTAAAATGATCACATGCGAAGTAACTATAAAAGTTGGGAATAGTCATCGGATGATTGAGAGAACTACCAAATGATAAAATCATTATACAAATTATTTAAATTTCTTTTTTTTATATGAATAGTGAGTACCGTATACCGAATTTCAGCCTTTAGCTAGTCGGGAAGTTGGAGAATAAGTGATAAATAGGCGAGAGCTATGACTTTTTAAAGTTTGTGTAATAAAGTAGTACAGCTCCCAATTAATGGCTAATGGCCTTGCCATGAAGTATGGCAGACTTCACTAGACGAAAAATTGGGTTTACTTTAATTGTTTAGATAAATTTCACTTTAGGGAAACTGCTAATACCGTAGGTTACACGGTAAGACCCGGGACCGGTTTATTTTTTTCATTCTGATATCTGATATCCTCATAGGTCAAGAACACTATTAGTTAAAACGTATATTACATCTTTGTTGTGTTATGGTACTCGTTACATCTAATGGTATTCACACAAGGAATAAATAAATCTTGTTTAAGAAAATACTTCAATAATTCAATACAGGTTTGCTCTGTGTAGGTGTATAGTATATTAGTGTATTTCTTCACAAATCTTTACAGACCAATAACAACATAAAATTTGAACGAAGCAAGTATATTAATGCCTAAACCCGTTTTTGAAGACTACGGTACACACAGAACCGTCATTATCAGATACATACTTGGTTGAAAGCAGGAACATGAATGTGAATCAATACATTTTCGTAGGTAAATCCACTTTTGTCGAGGAGCTTTAAGCAAAGAGGATTGTTGAAGGTAAGATACTTACATCTGAATTGTACGATGTGTCAATGGTAGGCTTATCTAACCTACGCGGTATAATTTAATGGAACTGTGTGAAAAGGCTCATATAGAATAATAAGGGTATTACCACGTATTCCAAATAGTCCCTACTAAGCGGTTAGTTTGTGTTGAAAATAGTTTTAGTTGGAATATTTTATTTTTTAATCATCTTAGGAATACTTTCAACACCCAAGTGATTTTGTAAATGATTTCCTCAATTGTTGTACCATCAATAAATGTTTAGATTCGGTAAAACATTGACAATAAATACAGTAGTGTTATTTTCTTGATTCGGTTCACAATTAGTTACATTTTAATTCATCTAAATTAATTATTTATGTATTGGCGTTTATGTGTGAGCAGAGTTGAAAGAAACTACCCTTTTTAATATGCTAATCTTGGTATGCGATGGAATTTTCCTCTGAAAAATTATTTGAGAGTAAGGAGTCTATTGTATATACAGAAATTATTTTCTCATTGGGTTTGTTATAGTTGAATAGTTTGCAAATATTTTATTTCTTTTAATATTTAGTTTCATTTAGATGACAGTAGGCCATTATTTAGACACACGATGTATCGATAGAATAGGTTGGTTAAAGTTATTATATATTAACATTACAACAGGTTTCTTTTTAGCTCGAGTTGTATTGATATACATAAATTAACACATTTTACAATCGAAATTCAAGTGTAAAAAAATTAGGAGCTTTTTATGTTCACAACAGATTATAACTTTAATTTTTCTAGGCCTTTTAAGCAGCCCTGGTAATAGAACATGATAATTCTTGTTTCGGATTCATATTTTAGCTTAGCAAACGCCTAATTTTCGACCTTATATCAAGTAGTGATATAGTTATAACCATGTAGCCCCACATGTATATAAGGACAGCCTAGATTAAGCCATGTTCAGGTTGTAGTCATAAGAAGTACATCACAACATTCAGGTCAATAGCTGATTCAACATCCAACAACACGAATGGGAGTTTCAGCTGACAAATCTGATTACACTTGATTTTATTCCAAGTTATATTACTTGTTTTTTTAAAGTTGTGGAAGAAATTGTTTATGTAACTTGCATGAACCAATATTATTTTTTAAGTTTCATCAACTTGTAATTGATTATTAGCATTAGTAATATAACACTTCATACAAAATATAATATCACTTTAGAAACATTAAATTACTGTAGTTGGTTGATGGCTATTCCAATTATCCTCTTTTTTAAACCCTAAAGAAGGGAATCCTAAATTTTACAGTATAAAATAACAAAATTGACGATGTCTTCTAAGTCAAATGTATAAATATAAAACAATATAAGTTTGTGAGTGTATTTTAAAATTGTAATCGTCCTGTAATAGATTCGGTTTAAAACTGTAGTCTTTCTGTTTCTTTTATTGTAATTTTACAATTAAAATTTCTTTAAGATGGGTTCAGATAGATAATAAAATGTTCAATGAACGCCAATACAAAACTAGAATTTATCGCTACCCTTTTAATGCTACTGGATTTAAGCGCAATTGAGTCCAAAGACCCATGAATCTTCACGTATACAATTACCGATTTTCATCAATGGTTAGAACATGAAGCCTTAGTATGTTTAAAACATATAAACAAAAACTTTTATAAACTTAACACCCTAAATTTAACATATTAAAGCAAACCTTACTTTTATTTGTTGTGGTTATCATTGGTACGGTAAAAAAACTAACCAATCTTAGCATTGAGTAATTTTGTTGGTGTGTGTGTGTGTGTGTATACCTTAAAAAAAGTCCAAACCCGTGAATATTATTTGAAAAACTCATTTTATTTTCATTCATAAAATCTTTAGTTATGTTTGGTAAAAGTAAACAATCTTAGCAAGCAAATTTAACAAAATTAAATTACTAGACTCGTATTTCGATGTCTACTAAGGTAGCCTCTTACATTTACAGGACCATTAGGAGAAAATTTAGAACTAAAACCTCCTTGTGAATAAATGAAGTATATACTTTATGTTAGTGTGTTACTAAACCTACACGTTGACAACCAGGTCTAAAAGTGGTTGATTCATAATAGACATACACAAAATGTATGATTGGTATGCTTACAAATACTTACTCCGTAATTCTATCTCAGTCTAAAGCCCTAAAATGTATCCACTGAAGTGTATCCATCTTAAATCGTTACTCGTCCGAACAAAACCCATACACTTGGGAGAAATACTCCCTTCACCTTTTTCTAGCCTATAAACGCATGTGAGCAGCAAACTCTAGACTTTTGGAGGGTTTAGAACATAAGTTTAGGTCTCGGCTCAGGTTTGGCCATCATCTTGAGAATGTGGTCTGGTATGTCCACAGCTCCTTGCCGAGAGGTCCTGCTGGCGTTGTATTGTAGAAAGTTTGGTGAAATGTAGCGGTGCTCCACTGAGAATCTTAGGAACTCCTCCAAACCCCGCATCATCTTGAACCTCATCTTCCTGCGGGTGCCGAACTCTTCGTCTGTGTGAAAAACGGAAATTAAAAATATTTGCAAAAAAAAATACTTGTGGGTAAATAAAAGAGCGATAATTTTACTTCTTAATTCTTGATAATGTCATCTCAAGAAGAAACTGGGTAGCCTCTCAAAGGATTAGGGTTGCCTTGTAAAACAGGAATTAACTCTATTGTTAGTAGTTTTTGTGTTAGTAAAAACTCAATTCAAAGTCAAAACTTTAAATAAACTTACCTATTTCTTTGCCAATCAAGGCTATCAAGAGGCAGTCGTCCTCTATGTCTGCATGTTGTTCGTCAACCTGAGGTCTGATATGCCATCCACGTCCTTCGTACACTCGCCCCATCCCTCCGATCAGGAAGCTGAAAAAACATAGGTACAAAAAACTATCAAACTATCACCTGTTGAATAGCGGTGTGCACCACTATTAAAATTTGTCCTTCGGTACATACAGGCTATGTAAAGTATCATTCTTGTAACTGGCCAAAACAGATTTAGGTTAGGTTAGGTTAGTTTACATTAACTTTATTTGCATAGAGCACATTAAAAAGTGGTGGTATTTTTATTGTCCACTCCCCTAAGTAGTTTTCTTACAAATACAGAAACATACTGAAATTGACTTCTGAATTCCAAAAAAGTCATCTTTCTGCTAAAATGTGTTCCCTACGATCGATGTTAAGAATATAATTTCATATGGCATTGGGTTGGAAGACATTGGAGATGCAGTTTTGAGCTTTGCACTAATAATTTTCCATATTTTATCATTTAAACATGATTCTTCCTCCTTACTGAAACCCAATGCGGTACAAAAACATTATTTTTCATCACAAATTGAGCCATGAATTGTGAACAAAACTCCATCAGTCATTCAAGGTATTTATTGCATGGGCTTCCACCTTTAAGTCCGATATTTTGGATATAACAGATAGCTGTTGCTTTGGTGCATCCATCGTTAGAGGTCCTGTATAGAGCATCACCCCTCCCACCCTCGAAATGTCATACTAACCATTTTTTCATCATAGGCATATTCATTAGTAGTGGTTCAGGTCCACACATTTTCAACCATTCCCTCCAAAACCTTTACCATTTCCCTCGCTTACTTGTACTTGAGGTCGGGCAGTCGTCTACGGCGTTCACGCAGCTGTATCGCTTGAACCTCCCTGGTACAGTCAAAGTCACTGACACATGGTCTACAGTAGTCGTAGTCATAAATGAGAACATTCGACACCGGGGACTCTATATATTTTGGTTTATTCCTGTAAGGCAACGCTCCCCAAAACTCCCTAACTAGAGGGATGAATGGGTGTCCAGGCTTGGTTTTTCTTTTCCTCCTCCGGATGTCTTTCATCTGAAAAAAGTTATCAATACGTAAGAATTCTTTAAGAGTTTGGATACGAGGGGTTTTTATTGGACCACTATTCCAGCTTATTTTAGAATGTAGAATTTGTGTTGATGAATGCACATTTTGTGTTTAAGGTTGTGTCTTAAAAGAAATGTGTACTGGTTTAAATGACTCCATATTTTTTTCTAAGAGCGTTTAACACTTCTTATTAGGAAAGGTCACTAACCTGAACGTTTTTTCACGTCCTGTATAAACATTGAATTTAAGTTGTGTTAAATTAGTTTTATTTTGTATATATTCAATTCACTATTGTCTAAATTAAATTATCGTGTAGAATGACTATCCTACTAATATTATAAATGAGAAAGTTTGGATGTATGGATGTATGTATGGATGTATGTTTGTGACAAGTGAACGCGAAAAATACTGGTCGGATTGGGCTGAAATTTGGCATGATGATAGCTCACATTCCCGATTAACATATAGGCATATTCTTATTTCAAAAATCCTTTCGGGCTCCGCCCCAGTGGGGAGTGGCTCTGGATTTTCCCATGTTAACCTTATGAGAAATGGAATTATTGAATCTTAACAGCTGTTTCAATTAAACAAGTTGGTTCTGTTCTATGATGTTCAATAGCATTAAATTTACAAGGATTACCAACAGGGTGCAGCACTATTATTTCTTTTACATTTATGACAACAGCTAATTTGCAACCTAAAAGTGAGTGAGCGTAGCGAACAAACTTCAACCAGGACGTGATTGAGCCATGCGAACGAGATAATCTTGAAAATTAAGAAGTTAAACGGGGCAAAGCCCGCGGGTTACAGCTAGTAATACTATAATACTATTCTAATTGCTAAATAGGTATGGCTGGGTGGATGAGTGGTTAGGTTAGGTTAGGTTAGGTTAGGTGAGTAGGTGAGTAGGTGAGTAGGTGAGTAGGTGAGTAGGTGAGGAGTAGGTGAGTGGTTATAGTGCTCGCCTAACAATCAAAAGGTTGCCGGATCGATCCTGAGAAAAATCAGTGTATGTTTGATGGTTCAAACCCACCAGTCCCTTATAATTTGCTTTAAATAAATAATACTGGCTAATGAAACAGCTGATCTCACTCCATTTTACCATGGATGGAGTATCTACACCTTTAATCCATTTTTCTACACTCATTCTTCACTCATTGGGTTAAAATACACACCTAGGTGGCATCCCCAATTTATAATGATACTACAATTTAAGTGTTAAACCTTGCACGATTTTTAGGATTTATATGGTTTTTGGAAAAATACACCAAGTGATCAGAAACTATTGCAATATTTATCCTAATTTTAGAAAATATGATTTAATAAAAGAGATAGTAACATTTGGGGGTTGCGGAAAAACTTAAGCATACTTTTAAAGTTTACAATGCTATTCCAAATAAAACGAATTTTAACCACTACCGGTACTTACTCTGTTTAGATTTCCATTAGTGTTTCAAAATGTGTATTTAAAACAATCGAAATTGGTAAGTTGTATAACCTCTTGACAAAAGTACTTTTTAAGATAAGGTACACTACGTTGCAAGATGATTTTGATCACAAATACTCATTTGTAAAATTATATCGATTTCTTAGGTTACATGTGTGATTGAATAATACAAGTTCTGTACTCTAAGCTGCTATCGACTCGTAACAATACACTATCACACCAGCCGTTATCAAAGAAGTACATTGCTGGCTATCCACTTTCACTTCAAAACAAGATAAAAGTGTACCATTTGATATCAAATATACAGTATTATGACAGCAAATCATTAGCTGGTTTTAAAATAAAAAAAGTTTTACCATTACTTTTTGGCCTTAAATAATACAATGTAACTCAAATTATAACTTTGGCATGTTTTCGTAGTAATGAAGCGATAGTTAATGATATATTTAAACTTTACATTTGATTTAAGCCATTTTATTTTTGCTTAATATATGTTTTATTCTTTCAAGACCCATTATACGCGTTCTTATCCTTTTAGCAATTTAGCTGCTACCACTTTGGATTATGGGTAAAAACACTTAAAATACATTTTCAATTTTTTTCTGTTGAGCCAAAATAAATTATCACTTCCGGGCTTTTACAAGATTTTATGACCGATTTAAATCCTTTAAGAATCATATGTTGTTTGTTGTATTGTAAGATTATTTTAATATGGAAGGAAGTCTAATTGCTACATTAAAAAATACAACGCTGTGGGAATAAAAAGAAAGTAATTACATATACTAAATTTAAATTCTGTGAAACCTAAATTTATGAAATTATTTGATTTTGTATAAATAAAACTTACACTTTGGGGTTAAACATTGGTAAGTATTTTAATACAAACATTTAACACTAAATAACACATTAAAAAGGACAGCACTTGGGATCGTGTAAGCAAATAAAGGAGTCCTTTAACAGAATAAAACAGTCAACGAGGACATTTCTTTATAAAAATATTTATTGGTCAACAAGGACATCCATTATTTACAATACAGACATTAAATATACAAATATAAACATAATAGCTGTTGATTCTTTTAGTTTCCAATATTTTATTTAGGATCCAGTGCATTCGGTCGATATCCCAAGAAGAACTCGACAAATCGTGGGTTTATATGCTTCTCTCTGACACCTAATCTGAGAAATTCTTCTTTACTGTGGAAGGCTTCGTCTGAAGGATCTTCAGCTGCAGCGAAACATATGTTTTTATTGCGGTGCAAATTACTAAACATGCTTTACCCATACAGAAGCTAGACCTAATTTTGCTGACTGCGCTATTTAAGAATTGGGGTAGATTTTCGTATCTGTTGGTACAAACAGCCTTTTGAAATAATCGATATAGTTGATCGATATATCAAATAATCGATATAGTTGATCGATATATCAAATAATCGATATATCAATCGATATTTTCATTCGGTTGTTTGTGCCAACACATACGGAAGTCAACCCATGAAGTGCATTTTAAATTACATTGATTGGCCTATTATATTATTTTCGGAATATGGTTTGATGAAACGTTAAAGTAATACAAATTTTGTTTAGTTTTATATGAGGAAAGCTAATTATTGTTGGTTAAAAAAAAGTTTATTTTAAACTCAATATTTCGTGGTGGTTTGGTTTTGTTTTAAACCATTAGTCTACTCTACATTATGAATATTTGCTTTAAGAAATACTAATATCAAGAAAAATGGAGTAAAAAAGAAGGAATCGTGGTAGTATCGACTTTCCAAATTTTCCACTTACTTCGAAAGTCTCCGATGAAAGAAATGTAAAGACTGTTCCAGCAGAAATGAGAAAAAGCTCTTGGAAGTGTCGGGCGTTTGTCCCATCCTCTACCAGTATACACAGAGCCATCAGGACCTATAGCAAAACTACTCATGTATTAGAACATCCAGGGAAACTGTCTTCTGTCTGGTAGCTTTATTGTTAGGAGTAAACTGCAGTGGGTGTTTATAGTTCTTCTTAGTGTTAACTAAACATACTACTAGTTAGGACCTATAGCAAAACTATAAAAATTGATTACTATAATAGACAAAAATAATGAAATATAGACCGTCAGCTGTGCTGCGGTTACCATAGGTTCTGCCGCACATCGCTGGGAGCGCCATAAAGCTACGACCTACGCGCTACGTAACTACACGGCGCTCCCAGCGGTGTGCGTCAGAACCTATGGTAACCATGGTAACCACTGCATGGCTGACAGTCTATATTTAATTATTTTTGTCTATGTAAGTATACTTGGGAAAACTAGGGATGCCATCTAGAATAATTTATTTTTTGAAGGTTAAGTTTGATCAAACCTCTAATAACCTATAATTATAGGACCATATTGTACTATTCTATTAACATAAGGTTTTAATAACTATGCTCACTAGGTTGTCAAACTATAGCTAGGTAGTTGAGGGGTGCAGTGCTCCCCAAGTAATCCAAAGGTCACCGGTTCAACCCTGATATAAGTTTTTGATGGTTCGAAACTGGGACCATTTGTCCTTGATCATTGGACTTCTTATTAATGGTCCAGGCTAATGAAACAGCTGATCTTGGTCAGTAACAAAGTACCAAAAAACACCTTCATCTTACTCTCACATTTAGGATAATAGGTTAGGTAGCGTCGCCTATCAACTGATAATGGTGACAGTAACAACTACCATTATTTAGTTAATATTTTTGGTAAATATTTACAAAATCTATCTATATATTAATAGTCAAGCATGTTTCTTTAAAACCTTTTTTTCTCAGTTCATGTGCATCGCAGGGAAAATCTACGCATACTGTTATTAAAATATTTTCCTGAAGATGTGCAGAATCCCAAATTAAAATAGGCTCAAATATAAGCACAAAAAATGAATTTGAAATTAAACAAAATTAACATGGGCTTTATGGGTCGCCATGCTGGTGACGAAATAACAACGAAATATAAACAGAAAATCAAAACAAATTAAACAAATTACAATCACATGTTTTATTTACAGTGTGGGTTGAAAATAGAGAAGTTTGACCATGAATATAACATACTCCTTTGATCTACATCCTCATGTTAAAGTTGTAGCCAGTTTTAAAATTAAATTCGTCGTCGCTGATGTGAGCCACCAACAGATTGCGCTGATCTAAATGACTAATTTCTGTCGAATACACGAGGTTTTTTACTAAATCAAACTTATGGAATGACTTATTATGAGCTATAGCAACTGTTATGACCCATCAACTTTGTCAGCAACAAAAAATAAGGTAGAACATATAATTTTAGACACACATTCTGTGACTGGTTCACACAACTACATGTTCTTTTTTTATAAAAAAAAAATGGCGACAGCTGGTCCATATAGAAGGAATGTCAACTTCAGTATCCAATAGTCAATGTGTGTACGTGCATCACATATTTTTGGTCGAATTTGCGACCACTGGATGACCTCTAGTTAACACTAAATACACAATTACTGCAATTTTAAGATAATGTACTGATTTATTTAAGATTAAAACACATATTAGTGAATGGTATAAAATATACTGTCTCTAATGTTCTAAATCCAATCTTATAATAATGTGAAACACACTTTTATCTCAAACGCTTACTTGAACCGAATGTCCGGCAGTTTCCTCATGTCGCCACGCTGAATGTACAGCAGTTCCCGACATGTCGCCAGGAAGTCAGGCCGAGGTCCTGGGTGGATGTTGATCCTCTTGTCGTAATCCTTCAGGACGTAGCTGAAGAAGACATATATGGCTGGCTTGACGATGTCAGGAATCATCTGTTTCTTGGGTTCTTTCGCCATCCACATCTCCCTTGGTTCGATTTTGAAGGGCATTTTTCGTGCGGTTGGTACAAGCGGTAAAAGCTGCATAAAAAAGATATACGATTAGCACTTTGTTCATGTAGTTTTAATATTGTTACAAGCATTTCAAGTTGATTAGGGATCTTTGTGGATGTATTACAGCGCGACTAAAACGATTAAAACAAAGTTTCGACGAAGTTTTGGAAAGCTGACACAAAACCTAAATCACAAGAATAGAGAAGGTGAAGACAGGATGAAATTCCAGATCCTGAATCATCATTAACAATCATCTTTTAACAACTGCCTAAAATTGACCTCTCTTAAAGATTTTTTTAATTATTGAATTTAGAAAAACACTTGTTTTTTGACATTTTTTTAGGAGGTTGGTGGCCTCTTTTACTTTTGCATTTGCCCGCCCACATAGACTACAGATCTGTGCGTGGAACGTATCCAGCAAAGCAAGGGGTGAATAGGTACGGTACAAAGGTGAACTGTACTGATTATATGTTTGTGGCAGTGACCAGGATCCGAAGTCCGTGTCGCTACCAACTGAGCCACCAACTCCCCTATTGAACATCCTGCAATAAAAACTATAGTAAATCTGGGCCTATAACGTGTCATAGGGACTAGGATATTTAACGTACTTCCATACTTGTAAAACTGCTAAAGGTTGCACAGTTTTACCGACATATTATTATTTTCGACTTTGGATAGAACTAAACAATCTATTCCCATTTCAAGGTTATAGTCAGTTTTAGAGTGAAAATTTAAGCATCCAATAATAATCAAGTATTTTTTATTTGTTACAATTTGAAAATATGTTTATTTTGGCTACTTGGTACCTCGAAACAAAATTTACAATAGTCCCGAGCCTAGCTTGTGTCATAAAGACTACGATGATTGCTACTTTCCTATTAAGAAATATGCTAAATAACATGGTTTACAATTAACACTCTTAAAATCCATATACAGCAAAATAAATACGTACTTTTGTATTTTTTCACTTATTTACTCGTTCTAGCACGGGGAACAAACCCCAATAGCCATTAACTGCACAATCATGGTGACAAAATGGTTAAAAATAACACAAATACAATATTCAGTATTAAATGTGGTGTGGTATTCAAGAGATGTATTGGACCAACATCTTATCGTAAGTTTTTTTACATAAATGTCTATAACTAGCTTTGTATCAGAATCTTATCTAGCATCAGGTAGATTTATGAGTTTAAAGACTTAAATTTGCTTAACAGTGTTCTAAAAATGAATGTACCCAAAATTATGTTGTTTTGAACTGTCTTATTTAAGTCTACTTTCGCAGAAGCATAGGTTTGGTTTGTTGCTATTAAAAAAAGCTTCAGATTGGCTTAAAATCTAAGATTCAACAATGAAACTAAAATATAATTATGGAGACATGAATCTTTACGTAATTCTTATTTTATGTAAATATAACATTTTTAATACAGTATGGTCATCTAGTCATGTAGTTATAAAATTAAGTATAGAAGCAATTAAACATTTGTACCTGAAAACCAATCACCATAAGCACTGTTTCGATGTTAATTCATATTATTCAATTGTGTATACTAACGACTGAGTTTGGAATGGATTGTGTATGTTATGAGGAGAGTGTCACAAAATATTCTAATGAAAGATTACATGCATTAAGCACAAGCAAACCGTTTGGTATTTTCATGTAATTGAAATAATGACAGTTGTAATAAAATAATACCCCCGCCGCATCAAACCTTCCACTTAGAACTACACACACCTCGACTTCCATTTAGAATTACACTTAGACTTAGCGAATTTTCATTTTCCTGATTAAATTTACACTAAAAAGGTTTTCTTAAAAATACTACATTTATTACCTATTTAAATATAGTTAATTTAACGCGTACTTCGGTTTTCTGCAACAGGGAGGGTAAAAAAGTGTTTTTCGTTGTATAATTTTAATACTCTAGTTTAGTAGGAAATGAATGTATGTTTTTAATTCGATCAAAATATGTTCATAAAGAAGCAAACTATAACAGTTGACTTATTCTCCATAAGAATAACATGAGAATTTTAAATTTGCAATTTTTTTGAATTTTTCCCGTAACCATTAGGTGCATAATAACGCGTCAATATACTAAATTATTTGTTTTAGTAAGCTCTACTAAATGGTTAGGTAAGAAATTGAGAAATTTTGTGTTTTGAGGGTAAAAATGGGAAAAACCTATTTTTACCCCATAAACCCCCGTTTCTATAGTCCTATCATGCTGGTTTGCGAACTCGTTCGAATAATATATAGGTTTACATGTTTGTTCCAAAATTCATCACAATCGGATCATTTTTGCTCGAGTGATCGCGCTAACGGACATATATCAATTTGAACGGATGGTGTTTTTGGCCTCTAGGGACCTCAAAACGAAAAAGTAAATCGGTCCCGGAACCAGGTCTTAGGAAGAGTACTACGGTAATAGCTGATATGGGAAATTCACAAAAATGGTAAATAGAGTACATTGTGTTGCAGTATAGTCCATTGTACGCTCTAATACACCTGATTTACTGAATCTTTTAATGAAAGTACAATATTGTATTAGAAAGAAGTTATTACTCCATTGAAGGGTTTAATTTCCGCTGAAAGCAAAGGGTAAGTTCCGTTAAGGGTAAATCAAGATTGATCATAATCTTGTAAGGGAGACTTCTTGAGAAAATCTCTTAATCTTACTTTTCTAAAGTAATAACGCTTCTTAATTTTATACTTCAAATATAGTAAATTTGTTTAAAAACTAAAAGGGTTTTGAATTTTTAACTATTACTATTGTATAGAAAGAGTTAGGCCTATACAAAATATTATTAATTTGTTATTCAAGATTTTGAAATATTAGACATAATAATTATTCTGTTCGTCTGCTTAGGTGCTGATCTGTAATACAAAATAGCTATATCCACTTCCAAATGACCTCTGAACAACAGGGACTTAGCATTATTACCTATAAAGATTACTAGGGATTGATGGGGTTTCAAAGAAAGCTTCCAGACTTTAAGGCTATGTAGATTCCATTAAATCGAAATAATTTAGTAAATATTCAATCAGACAAATCTACAGTGGGAGTATTTAAATTTTCATTTAATATATGTATGAAAGACCACAAAAGAGTTGAGTACAAAATAATTTATTGGATTTGATTAAATTTTACTTGTGTGACTTAGTGCCAATATCACCATTTCATAATTAGAATACGGCTAAAACCTTTGTCTTGCTACCTTGACAGGTCAACCTTTGTTAGAGAGCCACTAATTGATAACCCTAAACTAAATACACTATTACGAAGTAATTTAATACAACAATGTCAACAATGTTTCACAGCTGATCTTAGTCAGTAACAAAGCTACACAGATCTTTAACATCTTACACTCATCCTTCACTCATATTTGGGTTTAAACACGCACCTAGTTAGTGCCCCATCTCAGCTAATTGATATTTAATAATTTAAGCTTGACAACACAAATTTAATTGAGATCCGTTTAAATTGTTATTCAGATGATATTAACTGTCCTACGAACCATGTACTCAGGTGCTGGTAGTGGGTTATGGGAGGAGAAGGTTTCTGTGATGTGGTTGTTCTGAGAGATATTAAATGTTCAACACAAACCACTGTGAAAAGGCAGTGTCGTATGAAAACCCAATTGAAAATTCATTCACATTTATGTCACAATGACATCCTTTTGGTTAGGGTGTTTGGCTCGCATATTTGAAGATTTACAAAAGAAACCACTATTATTTAAAAGAAAAAAAATTTCTGTCTTATTTTGATCGGATTTTATATTACAAATACATATTTTTAGTTTCCAAAAAAATTTACAGCTTTTCTGTATGAATTAAAACATGTTTTCAGAATTGTTATTTGATGTAGAAAAAAACCTTTGCCACAATAACTCTATTGACTCAATATTTAATTTGTAAGAGGGTAGAAATACAGGAAAATGTTATTTATATCATTTGTTAGATATATAACTACCATTCTATAAAAAAAAGTAAAAGGAAAATACTCTAATATGGCAAATCTTTTATAGAATAACTCCTATATCACCAAACTATTATTTTATTGTCAGCAGTTCTAAATTGGAATAAAAAATTATATGAAACACAATTTTGTGGTAAGAAAAACAAAATATTATGTAGTATTTATTGGTTACAGATTATTGTGTAGTATTCCATAGTTACAGGATTGTGTAATTATTATTTATAATAACTAGCTGTTACCCATGGACTTCACCCTGTTTGACTTCATAATAAAACTATTGATTGGTTAAGTTAAGCTGAAATAAACAAAACAGAATACAGTAATACAAACAAACTAATCACACGTGATTTTAATTAGGTTATAAATTGAAAGAATAACAAACAAATAAGTACTGTTGAGGTATTTTTAACATACGGTATATAGAAAGTTCCCCTTAGAAAGGAATTACGACCTTAAGGGACAATTTATGAAATAATGGAAAGTTTTGCGCAAGGTTTCTCGTCATGGCGAACATTTTAAGTATATGGTTTATGGGGTCGTGACATTAAAAATTGTAAAATAAGCACACCTTCCTTCATGGAGGACCGCAGCAATTCGTCCTACTCGAGTCTACCCCTAGCCTCCTTTTAAATATATTTTTAAGTCTAAATTATGTTTTAAAATCATAAAATTCTTCATATTCTTGCATTAGGATGTCACGAAAGTAAGTTAAGGTAGTAGAAGGTTGTGGCTTACCAACTATCGGAAACGGAAGAGAACATGCTTTCTTAGTTATTCGATGATCGAAAATTCAGAGCTAACTTATTTCCGCTTTCTACGAACTCAAACGGAACATTTTGACTGCGGAAAGTTTCGTTGTAATTTTAAAATATTTATTGAATCTAGCCATTGTTGACTTTTGTATCAATTACCGTGTTATGTTTTACCATAGACAAAAAAATGAAATAATGGATATGTTTGCGCAAGGTTTCTCGTCATGACGAACATTTTAAGTATATGGTTTATGGGAGTGTGACTCTT